GGCAAGGCTGAGTTGGAACGCCTCGCCCGGGTTGTCAGCCTGGCGCGGCGGCAGGCGGTGACCTTTCTGGGGGGTGTGCCAGCCCATATTTTTCTTTCCCAAATTAGAGTTGAAGCATGCCAGGAAATGCAGCCAGAGCCAGCTATGCTGCTGCCGAGTGTCCCGGCCCTGAGGGCGCTGCAGGCCCTACTGCCCCTGTCCCCCCTCCTTGGGGGCTGCCCCCGTCCTGCCCAGGGCCCCATGTCGGTCCCGCCCTGGGCCTCAGCTTCTGCCCCAGCGATGCTGCAGCAGGGCCAGGCTCCAGCTCCCCACAGCCCTGCCATGGGCCCTGCCGAGCTGGGCCACCTGTGGAGCAGGAGGTGATTAAAGAAACAGCAGCAAAAAACACAGCACAGGGTGTTTGTTCCAGCTCTGTGTCTCCTCGTAGGCCACGCCGCTTTCCTGCTCCTCCTCATTGCTGAAACAGCCTTAGGAAAAGCTTAGAAAAGCATAAAGGCAAACAGCAGGAGCAGTCCTCTTTGTGCCCAGCGAGTTTCACCTGCGAGATGAGGTGTGGGGCCCAGGAGACTGCGTCCCCCCAGGCGTGGGGAGGGCGAGCTCTCTCCCCCAAACCCAGCATGGCTTGCGGGGCGCAGCCTCCCTGGCCTCTCCAGGGGCTGCCATGCTTTGAAGGGGGCTTCAACAGCCCAGACATGCGTGTTGCACCTATTCCTGGAGACAGATTTACCTTGCTCTTTGTTTTGTCTGCTTAAGGCTCGTTCATTTGATTAGAGAAAAGGGGATAGGTGCTGGTTCCTGACGTGGCCTAATGCCAGTAGTGCCAAATGGCAATTCCTGCTTACCCTAAGGGAGCAGAAAGGGACAGGGCACCTCCGAGGCGAGGCTGGGGTGCGGGCATGCCGGCTGCATCCAGCTGAGCTGTTCAGGTGGCTGGGCATGCCATGTGCTGGCTTGTCTTAACGCAGGCATGCTGCCCCATGGCCGCCCATTGCCGATCCCCTGAGGAGACCTGCACTGATGTACCCAGCCGGAGGCGCAAAGCTCATTTCCCTTGAAAGGCCAGTCTGTGGTTAGACCTGGCATGTTTATGCCATTAGAGCAGTGGCGATATGGACAAGAGTTCTTCTCTGAAAACAGAATCAAAGTTACTTATTTGTAGTTTGGAGTGAGAGGTCTGGGTGCCTTTTCAAGGTTGATGCTCAGTGGGCTTGATTTGGTTTGGTTTTAATGGATTTGTTAAAATGCTGCTCAGGCTGTTTCAGCTGAGAAAACCATCTTGTAGAGATCCTGTGGAAAAGGCTCATAGTATGTGTGCTGAAACAGTTAGGAGCGTGCTGGCTGTCAGTCCGTTATCTAGGATGGCACACACAGCAGAGTGTGTAGGACAAGAAAAGGGCAGGCAGAGGGGAGACACTATCAGAGGTCTGCATCAGGAACATGGGACATGGGGGACAGATGTCTGGTTCCAGGCTGTGTGGAAAGACCATTGCTGGGAAAGTGTTTCCAAGAAGTAAGTGGTCACTAACCTGCGGACACTCTCAGGGAAGAGGGTGCTTGTGATCAAAATATCTCAAGTGGAAATGCCTGGAGAGCCAAACAGTCTCATGCGGGGAATACAGTATCCTACTAGAAACTTCCCTGTGAGGCTGATGGAGGTGAGGCTGTGCACATCAACACTTCAGGTCAGCTACCTTACGGTTTTCCAAGGGACCAGGGGCATTTTGCAACTTATTCCGGTTCCTATGGACTGGACTCATCTTTGAGCTTTGAGGTGGTTTTAAAATCATCTGAAGTGGAACGTGGAGTGACCCACTGATATGTACCCAGCATCGGGTCGAGAGAGGGAGAAAGCATCTGCCTTTCCTCCACTTACACCTATTCTGATAAATGCCAAAATTCCAGCACAATTCACAGGACATGTGCAGGAGAGAGGGAAACAACAGCATGCCCAGTCCAGGTTCACTTTAAATAGTGGTGCATGTTTCTGAGGAAACACATGGCCTGGGATTTTGTTACAGAAAACAAACCCAGGCCAGACCTGCCTGATTTTTCACATTCCAAGTAATTTGTCTAATTCAATTACTGGAAGAAGTGAAATCCAGTGAAACAAATCTGACGTGTGTGTTTATGAAGGCAGTTCAGCAGAAGATGTGTTTTCCTGCATTCAGCCTGATTATTGTATTTGTGATGCCACCCTTCACCTCAGAGCTCACATACACAGATAGTATCTTTTTATGCAGCAGATCTTCCCCCTGTGTATTCACAGGATCCCAGTCCTAGGGACCTCTGTATTCAACAGCAGTTAGCCTTACAGCACCAGCATCACTGCACAGAGAGGGTGAGCCTCTTGCTGAGCCCAATTGGCATGGCAACATCGTGCATGGATCACCAGGTGCACGTGAGCAGATCCACCGGCAGCAGCTGGGGCTATCGCTGAGAGCAGATGCCAACAAGTATGCGATGTAGCTCACAGAATTTTTATGATGGAAAATGATGAACGAGGGGGTCCAGCTTGCCTCTTAAACTCCTTGCAGGTTATCACTTGAAAAAAGACATCCTTTATTTCTGAACTGCTCACTAAAAAAAGTCCTTGTGTAACCCTGAGCAGAGAATGGTGTAACACAGACTGAGGTTCAGGCTGCAAAGAGTGCTTTGAAAAACCACAGTGCTGCCAGATCCTTTCTTGAAATGAAAGCCTGTTTTTTCCAAGACTTAATGCTGACTCAGGAAATGTATGCCTTTTGTAGGACTTTATTTTTTTGCCTTCTTTTAATCTATTTTCAATGTCAAGTTAAAAGGCTAAATTGGCTACCTTCTTTTCCAGAGCTCTCCCTTTAAACAAAAATATCAGCTTAAAAGTCAATTTTAAATCATACCAAACTTGAATAATTTAAATAAGGCACTTTTTCCCCCTCTATATTCTTTCTCAACAGGAAAATAGCATGACTTCTTATTTTTAAAAAACAGAACAAAACCAAACCAACATCATCATGTCTTATGGATGTGGTAATTTATTCCTGGGTATAACAGCTTTTTGCCTATATCCCTATAAGCTGGTTTTAGCAGTTTGTCTCTAGTCAGCAAAGCCCTTAATGTATATTTAAACAGCTGTAGAATTAGATCTTGAGTGAGTAATATTTAATATTCTTAGGACAGCTTAAGAACCTGATCCAAACCAAACTGCAGTCAGTGCAAGGCTTTTATTGATTTCAGTGGGCTTTGAATGAGACTCCAGAGATTGCCGGATTGTTCCCAACTGTTATTACCTAGAATCCATGGCAAAAAGAAATACAGAAGGATGCAGAGATTAATTAAATGATCACAAGATGAAGCTCGTTTTTCTCAGAGTACTTGCAAATATACATATATATGCCACACCATCCCCGAGATGTTGGCAGAGACCTTTCAGGGCTGTCTCGAAAAAATATTTTTCCTTGTCTTTCCGTGTTGGTGGCTTGCTCAAAATCTCTGTTGACAAAGCACAGCAAATTCCTGACAACAGTCTTAAAGAGGCTGGCATATAAATAAAGATGTCTGAGAGAAGCCAAAAGCAATACTCTGATCTCTTTACACATCACATGTTCTGAGAGTGGCACCTTGGCTGCATAAATAATCCCTCTGGTGTCAACTGAGTTTTAAAATATAGGGGGGGGGACGACAAGGGGAGGTAAGGAGAGGAGTATCTAGCCCAAAGCTGGCCAAAGTCTTACAAAAATGAACGGATGGTGAGAAGGAGGAGGGGGAGGAATTGTTTGCTAAATAGGAAAAGGCAGAATGACCCAACAGGCATAATTATGAAACATTTTAGAGGGTCGTACAGGGAAGATGGTTTGCTGACCGCTGTCTCTTCAAATGCAGTTGAGTGTCTTGCTCTGCGGTTCTGTAGCCTCCCTTCAGACTGTGATTTTTTTTTCTTTCTTTCTTTTGGGCATCTTTTTAGAACTGAGCTCAGGACTTCCCCTTCTTTATGATGAAACTTCTCATCTGAAGAAAATAGAAACAGAGAGTGTGAAGGTCGTTGGACCGTGGCCAGCCCTGCACGTCAGCATGAACAAGGTATAGCATGTACATATATACTTTTACATGTATCTGCCAGAGTGCCTCTTTGTCACTTCGTATTCGAAAGCTGCTTCTTTTTCACCTCCAATTCAAATCAACATTCATCTGCAACTGACTTGCTTTTTAATCCCCTCCCGCCATCTCCTTATGGGAATAGGGTTTGGTTTTTAGATGTAGCATTTCTTTCAACTTTGCCTTTTAAAATTTCAGAAGCTGCTGCAACAATGTTATGATGTGGGTCTAGTTTAGTTGTGAAGAGTTAGTCATCTAGGCAGCCCAGAGCTGTAAAAAAAATAACAACACTTTAAGTGATAAAAAAAAAAAAAAAATCTTGTTTTTCTGCATGAGGAGTCCGTGTTGTGCCTTAAAACGCCCCTGGCATCTGATGTTAATGGGTGTTTTATGAGTGGGTTTTTGCAGGGGTGGCAAAACAGCCGTGTCACACCGTTTCTGCCGGAGATCAGAGGCCGGCAGGTCAGTGGCTCCTTGTTTCCATGTGAGGCAAAATCCACTGTGCTTGAGCTGAGTCTGAGTAGAGCCACAGAGACCTGGACCTCTGGTTTGCAACCACATCAGTCCTGAGCTGGGCCCAGTGAAGTCAGTGAGAGCATTGCCACTTGCTTCAAATGAGGTGGGTCTGGGCCCCTTGAAACTATACAGATCTGTTAAAAGAAACGTTGTCTTTTGAGAGTTTTCTGTCAGTTCAAGGGAGAACTCAGTTAAATTACCTTGGTTTTACAAACAGCCTTTTGTTATTAATATTATTTCAACAAGTGTTAGGGAAATTAAAATCAAAGGCGAGGTGGCAAAGTGTATCAAAAACACAAGCACAAAGGGGCTGTATATCTACGTAACATAATCTTTCTTTTCTCTGGATGAGAGAATCCCAGAGATGGAAGATGAGGCTGAAAATCAGTGAGTCAGGTGTTTCTAATAAAAAGTGAAATCTTGGAAATTTTTTTCAACATTCTAGCTAATTGAAGTTAATCCATAATGCAGTGGATTCTCCAGCATGAAGATTTGCTTGAAGAACTATGTTCAAGGCGTGTCATGGGGTGGTTCAGCTAAGAACTGCAGTCCTTATACCTTATGAATGTGGTCATGAGGCAATGACCTATGTCACAAGTTTTGGAGACTTCCGAATGAACAGGTGAAGGTGGAATATTTTAGACTCTTTCACAAACCTATTTGGTTACCAACTGTGAGGAGCTGTCATTTTGTCTGACTGGTTGGTTTGAGTGGGGATAAAAAGTCAAATCATAAAGTAGACAAACTGGGGTGAAATGGAAAAGAAGTGGTCTTTTTACCGTGGTCATTTCTCAAGTTCTTCTTCTAGAAATACTCTTAACTGGTAATAAGTATATTTTTTTAGTAGGCAAAGTTAATTAAGCGTTGACATAGTTTGCCAAAGGAAAATCCTCCATCTCAGAGATTCATCCAGCAGATACCCAGGTCTTGTGAGAGGCACACTGTAGTTCAGATGCAATTACTGAACCCTAGCTGAGACCAGTCACTTAGGTGCAACGTCCAGAACATGCTTTAAAGGACTGCCCTACACTATTGAGCTTATTGACAGCTCAGTTTGGTACATACAAAGGGCTAAAGTGAAGAAGCGGGAGAACTCTCTCCGTGTTGACCAGAGTGCACAAGTGGACAAACTGGTCTGGCCTGTGCTGTGCAACAGATTCGAACAGATTATCTCAATGGTACCCTTGTGATCTCAAAATAAATAGATTTATGGTCTTTTTTCTTTCTTTAAATGAAAGCTTAAAACACTTTGGGCCTGTATTCTGCCACACTGTGCAAGTAGTCCCAATAAAGTCCCTGCGACTTCTGCCTAGCGAAGCCTGACCTCTGATCCACTTGCTCTTCTCTGAAAATCCGTGAAGGGAGAACGCAGCTCTTTTATAATTGATGGTTTTCTTTGGCTTTTCCTGACAGGTCTAGAATCTTGCCCAGATTGATTATTTATTTAAGGACTAATTAGCAGAACCCGCTATCATAGCAAGTCAGTGCTTCACAATAAATGCATCTGCACAGTAAGTGCAGCCTGTGTCTGCTGTGGTGGCACTGCCATCAGTCAAAGATTAGCTGATGAAAGTGTCTTGCAATGAGGACCAGGAGCTGCTAAATGGTTCTGCTTCTGGCGGAAGCTCAGCAGAAGGCAAGGCTAGAGACGTGGTCTGTCTAATGAAAACCCTCTCCTGGCAGCCATAGAGGGTTTGCGTTTAAGAGCTGGGCAGCAATCCCATGAACCATGTGAACGCAAAGGAGGTCAGTCCCTCAAAATTTATTAAAATTGCTGGTTTGAGCCATCCGAAAATTGTATGTGCTCTTGAAACAGGCCGAGAGTCACCACTGGAAAGCACCCCCAGCCATCAAGCCCTCATGTTATAGGCTGTGGGTTGTGACCACCAAATCATTTTTAAGTTCTTTTGGCCCCTCACTTCTTCAAGCACCGTTTTCTGACCTAGGTCAGAGTGAAATATGTACCAGAGCTCACAAAGCTAAAACAAACAAACTGCAGGTCTTTGAGCTTTGAGTGGAGCCTGCAGTCGCCTCAGCAGATGGCTTCTCCAATGAGAGGGACATGGTATAAATATTGGGCTAACCCTGGGCTGAAATGCTGTGGAGTATCACCTAGCACAAGGGCAGTGGGGCAGGCTAGACAGGATTGAACAGCTCTGAACTGTGACAAGCATTTTTCAAAGAGTGTGGCCTTTAAAGCTGCTGTGGTTATGGCAGTTAACTAGCTACGCAGTTCAAAAGGGAACAGATCTTAATGAGTGGTCAGTGTGTCTAGTTTCTGCCAAAAAACTGAAATGTCAACAGCTCTCCTGCACCACTCCATTGATTTCTGTTCTACTAAGTGCTTTTATTCCCTAGTTTTGCCTCCTCTGAAATATTATGCTTAAGCAAAATCAGTGAAGCTGTTATGAAGCTGCTCCATTTGCTCTACTTCCAAAAATAAAGCAATGGTTTCCATATCTGTTGTGGACACCCGACTTCCGCTTCCTCTCTTCCTGTTGCTAATTATTATTTTGTTCAAGCAAAGTGCTTTGGGGCTGGAATTTGTCAGGCTTAATAATCAACCCATAGGAGAATTAACAAGAAATTGGGTAAATTAGATTCAGCAGTTAATTAATTTGATTGTCCACTGCAGCAAACTTCGTCTCATGGGAATGACGAATGGATGTGTCCAGTCTCTTTTCCAGAGCTGTTTGATACAGTGGATGTGTCTGTCCACCTACTGAATGATAAAAGTCAGTTTCAACATGTGTTTCATGCCCTTTGGTGCTGTCGGACTCCTTAATCCCTAGGAGAGACAAGCCTAAGTGGTGTAGCTGTGAACGTATTTCTGATTTTCTTTCTTGCAAGCCTTTCATTAGAAAAATATGTCCTTGCATTCCCCCTGGCTCAACGTGTGAATATATATAATAGAAAGCCGAGAATGCATTCTTAGCATTTCTGAAATCTTGGAAGTCTAGTAATTATTACTCTGGATGTAACTATTGCATAAAAAGAAAGAATACTAATACAATTTAAGTTGTTTCTACCCCTTTTCCTGGTATTATGCTCACCCTTCCCCTATACCCCTGGGTCCTAAGGTTGGCAATTCCATTCTGGTGGGGTCAGAAGGGGTGTTATGATGGTCATAGAATCATTTAGATTGGAAAAGAACTTCCAGGTCATCGAGTCCAACCATTAACCTAGCACTGCCAAGTCCACCACTAGACCAAGTCCCTAAGTGCTACATCTACACGTCTTTTGAACCCCTCCAGGGGTGGTGACTCAACCACTTCCCGGGGCAGCCTGTTCCAATGTTCCATCCTGTCATGTTCAGTTTCTTCTTCCTCACTCTAGGATCCACTTGGGGTTCTTTGCTATGTTTGCAAACATGCTTTTACACCTTGCTCTTTCTTCATTGATCTGCATCTTCACGTTACACCCAAAGTTACTGTACGTGGTGGTTTTTACATATGTGTGATAGATATTGAGCCTTCACTCTCTTCGTTGCCCCTAAAACCAGTTTTGTCCAGGTCCAGGTCTGCACTTCTTTAGCTGGCCATTGGTGTGTTGTTTATAACCGTGGGGTCTCCAGTGCCATACCTGCGCTCCTCTACACCACCTCCTGTGTCTCCACTTCCCAAGGCTTCTGTATCATACCAGCCCCGTGTTGCTTTATACTACATCGTTGTGTTAGTCTCATAAATATCGCGTTCTACAAAGAATAACTCCTTATGTTACTGTTTTCTATGTAAAATTATTGCTGTTACAACTAAACCTAGTAAAAGAAAGCTGCAGGCAGATCAAGACAGGTTCAGACAGAGCGAGCCGGATGAGTTTCAGTGGCTTTGCAAACTCTGTTCAAAGCTTATGGCCTTTTGCTAGCATGTTACAGGGCTACTCAGTTACGGTACTGACTGCTTGCAGATGATACCACTTGCAAAAAACCTGTGGAACTACCTGCCCTGTGCACAACTGCAAAGCCTAAAGCTACTGCAGTTCCAAAAATCTTTTGTAGTTTAAAAAAAAAATACAACACAAAAGCAACTCACTTTATTATGTGTCTGAGACCCTTCTGTGTGATGCACTGATCGGGGGTATACCCCAGGAAATGGGGCTACCATGACCCAGTGAGGCTATCATGAAGCTTGGCACTGACAGAGGCAAGATATAATAATATTGAGCATTTTATAAAATAAATTTGATACCAGGAACTAAAGAGATTTGCTCCAAGGTTATAAGCATAACAAGATTTATTGGGAGTTATGTCTTTCATTAGACCAACTGATAGCTGACCTGAGGAAGGTCTTGTATATCTAACAGCTTAATGAGGAGGTTTTTTGTTTGTATGTTTTTCCAAATCCAATTTTCTAATAAAAGATGCAGCTTCTGCTTGCAAACTTTGTCTTAAATAAGAATAACATATAATCATACAGGTCTTACCATTATGCTGTCTGTTTGCAATTGGCGTTAGCTATCACATGGAAAAA